TATTCCAGTGACCTGTACTGCCCTGTACTGTACTGTACTGTACTGCACACCTGTACAACTCGTGCTACCAAAGGATTGTTTGATATCTCTGTTTAGGCCGAGGATTTGCTGCATGGTAGTGTAGAGTTCTATGAAAGAAATGTGGACGGTCTAAATACTGACTCCCTCCTAGCTATTGGATTTCTGAAAGGTTATGATGAACACATTTTTTGATTTTTCGAAAAATTTAACTTTATAAATGCTGCACATTTGTTTATTTGGCCTCTAAGTACAGGAAGTGGAAGTTTGGAGGTTTCTGAGACTACTAGCTTGGGAACCCAGCTTTGCCAAGTAATCAAAGTGAACACAATCTACTTAGAATCTTACTTTTGTAAACCAAATTATAAAAAAAACATTTCCGTGGCTTTACTGAATTCTCAAATCAAAGTTTGAGGCTAATTGGTAAAGGGGTTCATAAGGTATGATCGGACATCCAAACAGAAAAACAGAGATTACTATTTTATTTATAGATGAAAACATTACTAATGATATCTATGAGGTGGATAATCGAATACACTTTTAAAAAGAATAAACAAGAACACACTTTACATAATTATTGATTGATTGAATATAAATTACAAGTGAAATGAGGGGCCCGTTCTCCACAATCTGTTTTTCAAACAATAAAAAATATCAAGTTTTATTGGTTAGAAAATAAATAGCAACCTCATCCTTTCCATATATTTTTAAATAATCAGATTAAAAAAAACATGATTTTTCACAAACTTTCAATAGGTTATTTAACCTCTGGTCGACTAGAGCAGCACGGTAACCTACTGGAGACCCTGGACAAAATCCTGAAACACATTTTTAGGATAAATTCGGATAAAACAGGCAAATCTTTTACTTTTTAAAAATTCTTCTGAAAGATTGCATGAGTTCAAATTTAGATTTCTTATTTAATCAGAAAAAAATCGTTGATAAACTAAATAAACATGTTGTCTTTTGTTGCTTGAAGTTTGGGAAAAAATTTGTCATTTTTTACATTCTTCTTATGATTTTGTGTTTATTATTATTTTAGCAGTTATTGCTATTAAGATTTGACTAGTTTTTGATTTTTATAAATCATTTTGCATTGATGATGGACATTTTTATAACGATTCGTGTTCTGTGTCTAAAGATACTATTGAACAAAGTTGGAAAAAAAACAACCTTTTTTCTCCTGTTTGTATTTTCTAGATTATTTATAGATTTTATCCTGAAACTGATATTTAGATCTTGACAGGCGTTTAGTTCTGTTGGCTTCTCAACCTGTTTTCTCAGAAAAAAAATCTAAAAAAGTAATTTTTTGTAATTATTAATTAAATTCAATCTTTGATTTACACATTTTTAGGATCGAGTAAAAATTTCAATTTTGGAAAACGATTTAAACAATAAATTTGGCAACAAATTCTATTTCAAAATGAGCGATTAATTCCGCTTTATTTTTTTTGAGAATTTATTATCATGTCCTTAATGATCAACTTACCATTAAAATGGATTAGAGACCTATTTTCAAGTATTGCTTCTATTGCAGAGGGGAATATGAAACCTGAAATATCTTTGCCTGATCAAGAATGAATGAGATATTCTAATTTTAAAATTAATGATTTTTAATTGTGGGTTCTCTATATAAGTGACTTCAGAGACTATAAAGAAAATCAAAACTTTTCTCCAAATTGTTATTCAGATATGGAGGTTAAAGGGTACCGTTATGAATCATACATGTCATTCTCTATTATGGAATATAACTGTAAAATACGCCTTCAGTCCCTTTACACACATGTATAGTCTACTCTTCAGGTGTTCAGGTTTACAACGGATTCGGAGTTTCATCTTTATGTTGAGAATCCGAACAAAGATCAAGACTTGTGTTTCAGGTAAAAAAAAGTTAGTTATACAAAAGAAAATTGCTGTGCTTACTATGTTTTTTATGCTTAATTGTTAAATTTTAAAATTAGTTTAACAAAATAATTATCTCTTGTTTGCATAAAAAATGCGTATTTTTAGCTATAGTTTTATTAAGTCAATAATGTGGCCTGTTTATACAAGAGCCCGCGCAAGTTGTGTAGTTTTTGCATCTTAAAATTGAAAAAAAACAAGTCTTAAAATAAGCTAAATTTCATATAACTTTACGTATAAAGAAGACACTTCGAAAAATCCTTCGACGCAGAATTTCTTCTGGAATTTTTGGCGGTTTAAGTCCTCCTCATCCAGTTTACACTTATATTCTGAACTGAATATTTGGTTTACACATAAATCCTGAATTGAAAAAGCTGGATAAAGTTTTCCATGGATCTGGTGAAGAATGGATATTGTATTATCAGGAGTAAAAACTTAAACTTGGTAAGTATATTACCAATAAGTTACAGGGTGTCCAACAAATTTAAATTGAGATACCCCATTATTCATTACTATAGCTTGGGAACCCAGCTTTGCTAGAAACTAGATTTTTTCTAAAATATATTGAACGTCCATTCAACTTAAACATTTTAAACCAAGCTAAGAAAATTCCCCTGGATCTAACGAGTTTCTCAGTCAAAATTTTAGGCAAGCCCACAAGGCATCTTTTAAACATTATAGATACTTTTATAGAATTGGATAAATAAAAATTTCTGTAAATTTTAAGCAACAAAATTGGGCAACTACATTTTTGAAAATGCAAACAGAAGATTTACGAATTGTAAATGGTAAATAGTAAATGTTTTAACTAGAATAATGATTTTGTAAAAAATCACATATTTGTTGTCTACTGTGTACTTTCTGCCAATAATATTTTTTTTTAAAATATTAATGTATAGTGAAGAATTTCTTCTTAATATTTGAATGTAAAAAAGAATTCAAGATTTGGCAGTTAGATAAAAACTAATTGATCATGAAAATGTTCATCGATATGTTTCAGTAGAAGTAAATATTTCCATTTACTGTTAAAGCGCACCTATAAGGATTTATCTCTAATTGGATAATGCTTGTTGCTTTTTGATACAGTTATCAATCAATAAACCCCATGATAAACCAGAGAGATTAAACAGAAATCAAACTATTTTTTTTCTCTCAGGATGTTTCTCCAAGTTTCTCTTGTCCTCACAATATTTCGGAATCTCAGGTTGGAAATTTTATAAGTTTAAACTTTTAGTTTCACCAATTTGTCAAGGATTAAAGGGAAAGTTCAAGATGTATAAAAATAAATGTTGAATAATTAAAGCTATTAATTGTATTTATGTTTCCAAAAATTGTGACCTGGAACTTTTTCAAAATAAAGAACCTACAAAAATCACAAAACAATAAGTATGAAAATGAACGCGCGCATTGACCTCTAAATATCTGAATTATTTTATCCACGGTTCCTATCTTAATTTGAAAAGTATCACATGGCGTTAAAAGATTTCAAATCGCGTACTATAATTCTTATAATTGTAAAATATTTTTAAAAATATTCTTGCTCAGCTCAAACATTAAACCTTTTGAATATATTTTCAAAACTGAGAAACATTAAGTTTTTTTCTTCATGAGCAGTCAAAAACTCTCAACCAAAAAGAGAATAAAATACAGTTAAACTCTACATGATCAAAGATAATATATATATAGATATGTACTCAATTTGATTCCAGTTTTTAAAATTCGACTTAATGAAAGTGATTGTTCAACTATGTACAAATAATCATCATATCTCCATTTTTCAGAATTAAAAAAATAAGTTTATCTCACCAATCACAGATGTTTCTTAGGTCACGAATGCTGAAAACATTTAGAGAAAATGTCCATCTTGATTATTCCAGTGACCCTCCATGCAAAGATAGCAATGCCTGATTTACAGCGGTACCCTTGAAATATTTGTCTGATCATGGATGAATTAGATATCTGTGGTTTTTTTCGATCAGATTAAGGTTTGAGGGTACCCTTGTAAATCGGACATTCTTCTCTTTGCATTATAGCTGAAGGTCGCTTAAAATTATGCTCACAGTACCATTATGTGACCTTGGATCATAATTAAGTTGATTGTCTGGCATGAATTAGCGTTAAGAATGATATTTTTGTCTGTAACGCATGCATTCATACTATACCAGAAAACGCGTATTTCTTAAAATAAAATTCAATCCATGTTCAGATATATTATATTGTTTATAAATAAATACATTTTAACTGCCCGTCTATTTTGAAAGAGAAACTCGAATTAAATGAATTAAAAAGAACCCAAAACGACTACCAAAATTTGTATTGTATATTGTATTGTATTTTAGTTTTGATTGTTTACAAGCTTGATTCGAATTAAAAGTTTACAAGTAATCTAAGAAAAGCTTTCTAAATCGACAGCTTCTCTTTGTTTCCATGTTTATGTGTATCCATGCTGTTTAAAAGCTTTTTATAAATCTAGATTAAAATCTAAAGTCGTCTTCATTGTATTGATAAAATGCTAAAACCATTAAATTGATGTACATAGTTTAAAAATGATATATTCAGGAGAGCTTATTCCAAGTCCCACGATGTTATGTACACATTAACACACAAACTGTTGTACCACGTTCTTAGGATGAAAAGGGTAGGTCTTCAATTCACTTTAGTTTTATCCTTATGAGAATGAAAATATAGAAAAACAATCAGATTCATAAAACTGCGAAATAACAAGACGACATTTAAGCAATAAGCTTATAAACCAATTTATTAAGTGAAATGGGTCTGTGTACATGTGTGCATTTGCTGTGTTTCATATTCAATGGACTATTTAAAGGCATAACTTGAATCTAACAGTCGTCTTCCTGTTCCGTTGTTTTATGGGTCTCATGCTGTACAATACAGTGGAGAGTCAAGACAACTTCTTTATTTTTCCTTCATATTTAGTCTTAGCTCTCAATAATTTACTCTGTCCAATATCCAAACATTTTTTTCGTACTTAAATATTTAAATATTTTAAAATCCAAATTTACAATTCATCAAAATATGAATAATAAAGTAGTAGTTTTCTTACAATCCTCTAGTTTCGTATTGGAACTCAACAATTGTTTTCTAAATGAACTTATTTTTCGCCACAAACTCTGATTTTTTTTATCATTATATCTCTGCAGCCCGATGTCGTAGACCTTTGATATTTTAAACCAAGAATATTGAATACTGTTAGATCACGAATTATAAGTTTGCAATTTGAACAGTTTACACACTCAGGTTGCAAAGATATAAGGATTATAGTATTTTGCTAAAAGTTTCTTGCAAAATTCCTTTACAAAACTGTTTTTGTTTTTCTCTTTTTAAAATCGTTTCCTGTATTTGTTGTATTTGATGTTTTCACTGTTCAGGGTTGTAAAGAAGACATTGGTGCAATAGAATACTTTTGCCAGGTTATTCATTACTTAAATCCTTTTTTCTTAAGAATCCAATTTTTCAGTTTGGACCAGAATAGATGAAAGTTAAAAATAGCTTTCATTTGTAGAAAATGAAAATTTGAGTAAAGTCAGCCTTGTAATTTAGTCAGCCTTGAAAATCCGAATTTTTGAATATCCAAAGAAGCCCTGACTAAATTTTGTCTAACATTTATCCAACAAACAAAACATAAAGGTAATTAAAACGGGTGAAAAAAGAATATGACACTTCTTAATTTACGGAGCTAAATCAAGTCAGTTTAAGTCATTTTGTCATATCTTATAATTAGCCAGTCTGTCAAAGACGATTTAAAGAATATTTTTAGAAATCATATTCGAAAATTTGAGTATAATCTGATAATGAGTTAAAAATTAAAATGCTAAAATATAAAGATTTTTTTCCCAGCGGTCTTGGAATGATATTCATCGTACTTGGGGATATCTTCAAACCACAGGTCTTTTAATCCTTAAAACTTTTTTTTGACTTTCTTATATAAAATACGAATTTTTTTGTTATTGCATAAAACTTGTTTTTTTTCATAAACAAATATCTACTTTTAAATATTTAAAGAAAAGAGAGGTACAAAAAATGGCAGAAATCTGCTTATTTATTTATTTCTATAATGGATCTGTTAGACGTAACTTCAAGTGCCCTTTCTATTTAAAAGATTGGTATGTCCTAATCTCAATGGTATCAGTGGACGAAACAAGTATACCATTCGATATTTAGCTGGATCATAGTCAAAGGTTTGAATCTAACATTCCACTCTGTATAAATGAAGGAGCACTTGACATTACGTCTTTGTATTATAAAAAGATATAATTTTAATATTTACCTAGAAGAGAACAGGTTCTGTTCTACTGATCTGTTTTTAGAACAAAGTAAGTTTTAAAATAAATAAACAAATGTTGTGAGAAAATTCCCAAAGGAATTGAGTCTTTGCCACAAACTAAACCCTATATCTTTGGATTCCAATGTCGTAGTCCTTAGATATTTCAAACTACATGAATTCTGTTTGATCAAATAATTTAAGTTTGAAATATCAAAGATTTACAACATTGGGTTCCAAAGATATAGGGATTAGAAATTCAGAGTTTGTGGCAAAGACTCAATTCCTTTCGGTTTAATTTAACTGTTTACCTAATTAGTAATTAAAGGGGCTGTAGTCGTAATTTTAATTGAGACATCCGTGTTTTTCTAAACGTCGCTGATTTCACATATTTCCTGAAAATCATGAATATTCTATGTATGTCCAACGTCGTTTCTAAAAATTCTAATGAAAATATTTCTCTCCTTGGACTTTCGGAAAGTGAATGATAATAATTTTTAGATAAGAGGCTTTTAGGGAGCTTCAGCCCATCTTCTTTTTCAACTTAAACTTCAGCCGCTCTATCTGGGAGCATCTTCTCTTTGTTTATTATATTTTATAAAACAAAAACAAAAAATTTGCAGATTTAAAAATATGTTTTTGCGCATTTTCAAAATTTTTCAAAAACAAAAACTTTGGACACAATTTTTTGTAATTTTGAGCACCTATAAACCCCTTCCGGGGTCATGTACGGTTGGATACAAATAGACAAATAGAAAACTGCAGCTTGAAAACAAATTTATCAACAATTACAAGGGTTTCCGTGGATAAAGTAAGGATAACTCAGACATAACTCCTTATACAAATATATAAAATATAAAGCAGACATGCATGCCACTCCAAAACAGATGGAGGGTCACTTGAAATTCCGTCTACAGTCATGTACGACTGGAAAATCCATTTTTGATTGTGTTGAAAAGATTTAATATTTTTGGTCTTTGATTAAAACATTTCACCCAGTTTACATTTAGTGTTTGTTATTCGGTTCATGGAGTCAATTTGACAAATAGCTATAATATCTATTACTCTTAGTGCTGTTTTGTTCTATGCTTGGATATGAACAATTCTTTAAAACTAGGAAACAGGATTAACGTTTCTAAACAATGTAATGCAAAATGATAATAAATCAGCTGTTGTATCTAAGGGATTGTTAACCGTTTGAAAATAAACATGATTTGCTGGTTTTTTTTTTCTGAAATAAGGATCAATCTCTAGCTCTATAACACATTTATTTAATAAGACTTTTCTAAAATAATTAGTTTACACTTATATTCTGAAATGAATATTCGGTTTACACTAATATCCTGAAATGAATATTTGGTTTACACTTATATTCGGTTTACACTAATATCCTGAAATGAATATTTGGTTTACACTTATATTCTGAAATGAATATTTGGTTTACACTTATATTCTGAAATTAATATTTGGTTTACACTTATATTCTGAAAT